TCCCCAGGTACCTCTCCACTTTTACCTGCTACATCCCCCTTCCCTGCTCCCTCCCACCCTGTGTCTCACCCCCTGATGCCTCAATTTCCATTTTCATTGACTGCTTTTCTTGCATGCATACCAGCCTCTGGCTTCTTTACTGTTCCTTCCATCCAGGAAGAGCACACACCAACTGCAGATGCTTTCTCAGACTGACAACGGGTTTTTAAACCCAAATCAGAGGATTTTGGGGGAAGAATCAGTTGAAAGGGATAACAATAGGGATGGTAGGCAAGAGTAAGTAGGAAAGGATTGGATACAACTTGCTAGCAAGAGACTAGCTACTGCTACCAAGCCAGAGCCTTTCAGATGCTGCTGCTACAAGACAGATGCAGCTCACAAATGGCACAGAAACAGATCACTTCACACACAGCCTTATATGCTGTTTCTATGTCCCTCCCCCAGAGCACTGTGATTGGAAGGAAACTCGGGGAAAGATCACAGTCACTGGCCAGCTACAGATGTCAATAGCAGAGCAGTCTTTCCCTCCTCCCTCTTCTCAGTTTCCATTTCCTGCAAGCCTGCCTTCCGAATCTCCGAACCTTTCCGAATCGAGTTGGATGCTTCCAACTGAATTTGGACCTTTTAATGGGTTTCAGAGATTCAGCTGCTGAATCAGGCCGAATCTCCTCTGAATCGAATCGGCTACCGAAGCTTTGTACAACCCTACTGCAAAGTCCCAAGGCTAGGTGCACTGGGAAAGATGTCAGACTAGCCCATTCCTGCCTCCAGTCTCTAAGGCTGGGGTTAAGACACACAAGGTCTCCAAGTGGAAAGCCTGGTGGCTGAGTGTACATTACTCAAGTCTGTGGAAGGAACCTTCTGCTTACCCTTCAAGGAGGCAAACCTTGATTGCACACCTTAGAGAAACTGTGTGGAGAAAGTCTCTGAGGTCTCCTTTCCACAGGCCTGCTTCCCTGAATTTATTTTCCACAGTGGGGTTGATCTGATTCATCTAATGACTAAAGCCTAGTCAATGTTTTGGTCATTCTCTTTATTTCGTTAATGATCTTCTTTGCAATGTATGGAGTTAAATTAAACAGAATATCAGACTTTATTAAGATATCATGCAAAATTAGCACTCTACTCATTGAAATCCTTCAGTGACCTGGTAGCATACACTCAGAATGCAAAGGGAAGTGAAAAAAAATGTTCACATCCTTGTTCATAAACCCCTAAACCTAAAAAGTATAGTACCTTCCAAACAATTTGTGTGCGTCACACAAACCCCATGAGGTGGAAATGAGATGGTAAGTTGGCCTGATCAGAAACAGCAGAAGTATAATATAAGAGGCGTATAAAACTGGGCTGACCATGTCATGATGAGCAGACAAAGGGCAAAACACAAGCATTGCAATATTCTCAACCTGAGCCATAATGGTAAAATCCTTGACTTTGTTCAACATCCTGCCCTATTTCCCACTCAGCTGCGATAAATCCATGTGGACATCAGTTTTGTACATTAGCCCCCACTGCTGAACATTCCTGTTAGCTGACTGGGGTCAGCTCTTGAGCTCCTGAGCTTTCCTAGGGACGTCAAGTCGCAACCTTAATAAAGTTTGCATGAAGCTCCCTTCTGATCCTGTGGGGTGCCCAGGCAGGGCTGAGCAGGTGGGGTTGCAGTGGGGCCATGGACAGCTATCAATCAGATGGAAGGGACAGCTTCTAGGGGGAACTTTTGGGCCTTTATTGCTTTCTTGAAGGCTCCTCTCCCAGCATTGCAAAGCTCTGGCCAAAGAGACACCTTTCACTTGAAATTCCATCCAGTAGCTATGAAACAGAAAGGAGAGAAAGAACGTGTCAGAGGCGATCACACTCCCAGCAAGCAATAGACATGGGGTCAGCTCCAAAATACTTCCCATTTGGATTTTTATATCATAAAAATTATGGAAGTCATTGAGGATGTTCACCTGAGGCCCAGTCCTACAGCCACAGCTGGACCCAGAGCTTTGTGCCAGGAATGCTCCTGATTAATTTAATTAAGTGCTGAAACAATCCTCCTAATGAGCATTCAGTTGAGCCACAACAAGACACATCAGCACCCATTCACTTCATTTTGCTAAATATCTGCAGAAATCAACCTGAGCATTAAAGGGGGCAAAGGCAAGTTCCTAAAGAAGGTATTTAACAAGATGAGAGGAGGGCTGCAAATGGGATTCATATGTGTACAATTTCAGCACAGAACTCACAACCTGATCTAATTCTTGGAAGAATAACAGGCATTTTATCCCATTAGGTGAGGTCCAGTAGGGCAAGGAAAAGACTTAAGTATCTTAGCTCACCTTTTTGTAATCAACGTGTGAGACAGACAGGCAGGTGCAAACACGGCCCTGTGAGAGAGAAACACAGTCAAGAGAAACACAATACACTCTTCACTGTCTACTTACTGCAAGCATCTCCCATCATCATCCCAATATGCCATTCATGGGTCTGGTCCCATTCCCCCCTTTTCAGTGGATCAGACTGAAATGCCTTGCCTCACAAAGCAGCAAATCCTCAATAGGCATAAACTGTCAGCGCTCCAGTGAGCTCCATGCAGCTGAATATCTGTTCTAGAGTAGCACCTAACAGCAGAAGGTAACCACTGGTCCTAATAAGTGTAAGATGCTATCCAACTTGAGGAAGGGTGTTTGGGAGTTTGGTCAGACCCCATACTTTTAAATGTATTTTGTGCAGGAAAAGCTTTTTAAAAATCCAAACCAATACAATTTCAATAGGATGCTAATATTTGGTGCAAAATAAATATATCTAACAAGTGTTAGGTTTCTATGCCATCAGGGATCAAGATTAGATGATGAACACACATCCTCTTTTTATGGTTCACTCTCTGCCTTTAGTCACACTCTGTGTGATGGATAGCCAAGAACAGACGCCAGCCTGGGGGATTTTATCCCAAACAAAGTAGTGTCATACTGACGGGACATCGCGCAGTGAGTTCCTAAGTTCGCGTCCGAGGTTCTGTATATAGTTCCATTGATTTTCTTCCAGAGACTGGCTGCTGAGATGGATATTTTCCAATTTCATCTGTTCTTCATCAAACAGCCACTGGACCACAAAAACTGGAGCTGTAAAGGAAGAAAAAAGTCCTAGAAAGGAGTCAGTATTTGACTCTACCACTCAAGGCCAGATCCTGCAACCCTTATCGCTACTGCTACTATATTAGCAGAGTGCCCAGCAATCTTAGTTGTGTACTAAGGTCCCATGATGATAATGCAAACACAGAATAAAAGATTCTCACTGCCCCAAAGAGCTTCAGAAGTGTGTGGCCTCAGTTAATGGCAATGGAGGAGCAGGGTCAGGCCCTGAGAGAAGATGCACTTACATTTCAAGGATGAGAACAGCCGGTACCCGAGGAAGCACTGCCATTCATCAGCCTTCTTGAACTGCTGCCTACATTTTTCTGGGAGGATCCCATTCCACATCCTGAAACAAGATGGCCAGGACACAAGAAGGGAGGAGTGAGATGCTGTTACTTGGAACTAACATGTAAAGAAATATCTGTGCTCATCATCCCAAATGAAAATTGTCTGGGTGAGAAGATGAATACGAGGAACCTGCCATGTAGCTTCCCATGGCAGCCTAAGATAGGCATGGCATGGTGCTCAGAACAAAGAAAGCTCTCTTATTTAGAAAACATAAATGACTATTTTTCACCCAAAGTGGAGTGGGGCCCCTGACCAAGGACATGACCACACATGCATTATAAGACATTGACAGAAACCTACATTTTAAGCTGCATCTGCAAAATATATATGCATGCACTCATCCCAGGTGCTAATCTAAGCACTTGTGCTGCTTCTCATTGGGCTGAAGGTGGAGGTCAGGTAGTAGTTCATAGATTTCATAGACATTAGGGCTGGAAGAGACCTCAGAAGATCATCGAGTCCAGCCCCCTGCCCCACAGGCAGGAAGTCAGCAGGGGTCATAGGATCCCAGCAAGATAAACATCCAAATGTCTCTAGAAGGTGTTCAAAGTAGGTGCTTGAACCACCTCCGGCAGCAGTCTACTCCAAACTTTGGGGGCTCGGACAGTAAAGTTCCTCCTTTTGTCCAGCCTGAAACGGTCATGGACGAGTTTGTGACCGTTCGACCTTGTTATCCTTTGGGGTGCTCTGGTGAACAAATGTTCCCCCAGATCCTGTTGGGTACCCCTTATAAACTTATAGGCAGCCACCAGATCACCCTGAGCCTGAGCTTTTGCAGGCTGAAGAGTCCCATGGCTCTCAGCCTCTCGTCATAAGGTCTGTTTTCCTGACTTTTGATCATGCGTGTGGCTCTCCTCTGCACTCTCTCAAGCTTCTCCACATCCTTTTTGAATTGTGGAGCCCAAAACTGGACTCAGTACTCCAGCTGCGGTCTCACCAAGGCTGAGTACAACAGGAGAATGACATCCTGGGATTTGCTTGAGAAGCTTCTATGGATGCAAGCCAGCATTTTGCTCGCTTTACTAGCCGCAGCATCACATTGAAGGCTCACGTTCATCTTGTGGTCAATCATGACCCCCAAGTCCCTTTTGTCTGTAGTGCTAGCCAGCGTAGCACTGCCGAGCCTATAAGCATGCTGTGGGTTTTTCTTCCCGCAAGTTGGGGTTGCAAGACATTTGCATCTGTGGGGTTTTGCAAGCAAAGCAAGAATATACCTGAGGGTTACAACCTACAGGCTCAAGTACCTGAGTCCTTTCTTGATTGCATCTGTCGGGGCATGGGAGGCAGCATCTGAGCAGTCAGATTGTCTTGGATGATTAATGTCAAGAAACCAACCAGAGTCTACAAGCCCTCTGACCTGGACTGCCTCAGCCTCCAGCTCCTCCAGCAGGGCAGCCACCCTCTCCAGGTTCAGTAGCACACCTGTCCCACCAGCACTGAAGAGAGGAAATGCACTGGTTATGTGGCTCCCTGATACAGTGCCCTGCAGCTCCACAGGCTGACAGCATCTTCACTAATGCCATCCTTGGCAAATACATGAGTTCTGAGTAATGCACCTTAAAGCCCCACTGCTATTGTATCCCACCTGCCTGAGAGCCACCAGGACACAGCAGCAGAAACAAAGAGGTTTTTGACTGAAATTTTTGCAGCATATCCTAGAAATGAAAGGAGGCATCAAGCTTTTTCCTTCCAACCTTTCTCTCGCATTCACTAATTGCATTTTTGCAAATATTGTGGCTCATGCAGTGTTCAGTAGCCTCCCCTGGAAACCAGAGCCCCTCACTTCCCTGCAAAGCAGATGCAGTTTATACCTCCCCCACCCCTTCCTTGTCCATGTGCAAAAACCTCAGGCTGAACAGATTATCTGAGGCCTTGGGCTCATTCACCTCATAGTCTCTCTGTTTAACTTGCCAAAGAGAGACCCACTAGTGGCCATGTGATGGCATTTGTTGTGATGCTGATATTGGGAACTGGACTAACCACTTGACTCCCACTGACTTCAGTGGGCTTTAGATCAGAGCCTCTGTCCAGATTCAAGTACTACAGCTATGCAGTCTGCATGCCGACTTCAGCGGAGTTTGGAGCACTAATCCATTTCATAAGGCCACTCAACATCCAACACATCCCTTGCACAGAAAACTCTGCAGTCTGTAGCTGGAGCAAGAGACCAAAACACCAGGCTTACTGAAGGATGTAGAAGATTTGAGCCACTGCTCTGAAGAGGTCTCATTTCTTATAAGAGGTATAGAAGACATCTTCACCAATAGGCTCAGACAAGGCTTTGCTAACACAAAATAAATGAAAGGGCATATTTGCAAAAGGAGAGTGTTTAGGAAGGTAATGTGGTTCAGGGAAACCTGGGTCTTGGTCCTGCTTTGGCAACTCCCTGTACCTGTGTTTCTCCCTCCACCCCCTCACCCCCCGCCTTCCTTGTCTGATTTATCTGAGTAGGGTACAAACTCTTTTCTCTCCCCATGTTGTGAGTTACCATCATAATCGGGACCTGACCTCACGTAGCACCTCTAGGTTCAGCTGAAATATGAACTGTTACTAACAATGCTCACACGTGGTATTTTTTTTAAAGAGTTTTCCTTTCCCACTACACATTTTGACCAAAAACCTCCATCTCTAGTCCTATTCTTACCTTGCCCCAGCAAGGAGGACCACTTTAGCATGTTTAATTCCCTTGGGGACCAGGTCCTTAATCACCTCCTGGATAATCAAAGATCCCATGAAGGCATAGTCTGCTGGAAGAAAAGATCTCCAATTAAAGTGACTCCAGAAAGGACATATTAAAGGATGAAGGAGAGAAACAGCAGCATACCTTGTCGAGATTTGGGCAGAGTCCCACTCCAGATATCACTAGAGCAGTAAGGCACAAACCTAAACAAAGGCAGCAAAGGGAAAGCACACACATAGCATCAGCAAAGCCACCAGACAGCTCCTAAACAGACTAGAGAAACATCTGCTTTTTACCCATCACCTATCTGCTCTGCACAGGGATGATCCAGGATAGGGCTCATACCATTATGTTCGGGGCCCACTACCACCTTGCCCTCCCCCATATTGCTAAATGGATCAGGGGTCTTGGCCAATTCCTGGCTATCTGGCAAGGGGTCTCTTGTGGGAAGATGCAAGAACTATGGATCCAAGGTTTTGTCCCAGAAATGATGTGGGACCCAGATATCCCAGCCCCATGATGGATGTAGCAGTGCAGAACCAGCAGTACTTTCATAAGAGAAGGAGCCTTTCATGAGGAGCTGCAGCTATCCCCAGAATGACAGGAGGTGTTGCTCGCAATGTTAGATCATGCAATTAGCAGTCAGGGAAGGAACTGGCAATTTAGCAGTTGTACAGCACTCAGGAAGGTCCTTACACGGCATTGGCGTTCCACCAGTGTGGGCTTTCTTCCATCTGAGCAGACAAGATGCCCGTGCCTGGAATCACAAATCACAAACAAAACAACACAGAGAGGTACCAGTCACCATCTCATAAAACCAGGCTGAGCACAGCAACATTTCTCAGCTTTGGGAACCAAACAAACCCCCTGCAAGTACCTCGCAGCGTCCACTCCTTTTCGTCCCCCTTTATAGCTTGTCACCCACACACCTTGCTCCTTCACTTCCTCCCCATTTCTTTCTACATGAAGTTCAAGTTCATTTTCTTCATCATGGAGGCTCTGAATAACCACCCCACCTCCACACCACTGAGATCAGGATATCTTCCCATTCCTCAGAGTCCTCCTAGCTCAGTTGAGCACTGACCTGAATGGAAAAGGACTCACACATGTGCTTCCCTTTAGATCCAGAGGGTAACCCTGCTGCCTTCAACGGTACTGCTCACAGGCTTAGAGGTAAAGAGGTGTTTGGGTGCACTGCCACACACGCCATAGGGCTCGCTACCTGGCAGGGGGAAGCCCTCTCTTTGCTCCGTTCTTTTATGGCAACTTCTGTGCTTGGGGATGTCCAACCCCCCTTGCTGCTCCTTGAAATCCTGCCTAAAAGCCTACCTCTCTTGTGCAGTCTTTCCTCAGAAGTCTCCCCACCAGTGAGGATTCGTGACCTGCTCCCACTGAACTCCAGCCCTGCTGTGTCCAAATTACAGAAGTGCAGGGATGAAATCACTGCCCAGACCACTAACCCTGCTTCTCTTCTCAGCTATATCACTAACCATCTAGATGAATATCACCACCAACTTCAGTGAACTTACTCCAGAACTACAGCACTTTAACTGATATCTGAATCCATCCCCTGAATTTTCAGAGAACTGTAATAACTATATCAATCCATTAGTGATACAGCAATTGCAGAGAATACCTTTCTTTGTTTGGGGCCAGTCAGAGGAGCTCATTAAACGGCGGATATTCTTATATCTGGTATCACAGGTTTCTTTATTATAACAGCACCAGCCACCTGGACAGAGGTAAAAAAGATTCATACCCCCTAATATATGTGAGTTCAGAAGCAAGATCAGTTTGTCTTACTACTGCATTTTTGTTCCCTACCATACCTTCTAAGAATATGATCCACCTCTTGCTCCCTCTGCTCTCCCTTAAGTAGTATCTGCAAGTGGTGGGAAAGAAGTGTGAACACCAGGCAGGTTATTTTGGGCTTTTGCATTGTCTGTAAAAGCACGCGAGATGTAAGTGAACATTACCCAGCTGCTGTCCCATCATTACAGGTGACCCCACTGTTCCTCAGAAAGAAAAGTTTCATGTTGTTCAGGGCCTTCAAAGCAGGCAAAGGGGCTAGTGAGGGGCTTCTTAGCTGTAATGCCAAAGCATCTCGCACAGGAGGAAGAACTCCTATGAAGGTGTCCTCTTCAGTAGCAGTCTGTGCCAGTTCCCCGGCAGCATTCAGACCCTTTCGACTCTGGGCAGGAGTCTTCACATTAGCTTTGGACTGACGTTTGCTTTGAGACACTGCTTCCCCCAGAAGCAACAAAACCAGGAGTGCCCCTGATATCTTCATAGTAAATGCCTCCTCTACAAGCTGGCAGAGAATAAACCCACACTGTATTAAAAGGCCAACATAAATATTTGGAGAAAGCGAGGTTTAACAAAGATGGCATACAGAATACAGACCAACAAAAAAGGGACCTAGGCGTGTGCACTAATATAGACACACGCATGTTAATACGCTGTAAAGATAGTGCTGCAGAGTTGAAATACCACTACCTGCCGCCAAGAATGCTGGCAAATGGTTGACCCTCAGCTAAAGCCTCCTAATACCAAAGGCAAGGTAAATCCCTGATGGTCAACAGATGAAGAGTCCAAGTTGAAAAGCCAAGAGGAGTTGTTACACTGCCAGAAAGAGTACTTCTGCTCAGATCACAGCTACCAAGGAGTTAATATCGTCTCATGCGGAATACATTTCTGCCCTTTTTTTTGAGCTGCTGCCACGGATGGGCAGATGATGGGCTGGAGGAAAGATACCACACCCTGTTCTGAAGAAGTTTCAAGCTTTCTTTTCGGATGCTGAAAGTCTCAATAACTATCTCCATTGGGCTTCCTGTTTTCCTGGGGATATGAACTGGCAATCCATTTCTACAGGATAGATTAATTTAAGTCATTTCATGAATAAGAAATGCATTTGAACTTGGTCAGAGATTTCAGCTCATTCTCTCATCAAATCATTTCAGTACAGGCCTTTCAGCTTTTGCAACAAATAGCACATTTTATTCCTAGTCCAGGTTTTGTCAGGTTTACAGATTATAGACCTGGTCTGAGAATTACATTATACAGCAGTTCTCCTAAATATATTAGAGGGAGATGCATTATTCATTATGAATAAGTGAACCTCTGAATTAATTTCCCTAGTTTTAATGAATCATTCATGAACCAATTCTGATTTCTACAAATGTATTAGTTATTTGCAACTATTCACTGAATGCTTTTAGCTGAACAATGCTTATGGTTATGTGGATTGCAGTCACCTCCAGTATCTGCTAGTTACCATTTCTTGTTCAGGCTCTGTGATTGGTGACTTATGTGACATGGCATTGATTCAACTCTCTGATTGGATGCCTGGAACCTCTTAAGCATAAAAACAAATAATGAATTACAAACAAGAAATAATGATGAATTAATCAGATGTGTGAGAGTATAGGTAGTTTTACCAAGAACATTCCCCTGATTTTTGAATAAACAAAGATCCATTCCCACGAGTTTTCATAAATAATTCACAACAGAAGACAGGAACATAGTTAATAGCCAATCAGAATCTGACTAAATGCTTGCTGACACATAACTCCACTAGATTCAACAAAGTTAAACCACTGTAAAACTGGCATGTGATTAAAATAAAACCTTTTGATCATCAATTTAAGAGTGTGGGTGGAAAGGAAAAAACATAACCTGGCTTTTCTTTTGTTTCAGTTTGTAAAATACAGATTGCCTTCAGTGGAAAATCCAGACAGAAAGGAACAGCCTAACCAATTATTCAAGTCTACATCCTGAGCTAAATTTTTAGTACAGTACACATATTTCTCTCTCCCTTCTATGTAATGAATTGGTAAAAATCAAAGAAAATCCTTTACTCTTACCCTTGGCTGGGATGGAAAAACTTATCCCCCATGGAGAATGCAAGAAATAATCATCACTGGCCAGAGAGGAGGTGAACATTTGGAAAGAAAACACTGGCTATTTGAAAGAAGCAGACATATTTTTCAGATAGTTACAGGGTGAGTCATTGGTCCCTAAAGGGAGTTATGAGTACAGCTTTCCCCCCTCACCCATCAGTGAAATGCAGGCCATCCATATCCATCAAAGGGACCGGATGGTCCAGTGCTGGGATGCTTAACTGGAGTTATCACAGCATTAATTTCAGAAGGCTGCCCTCCCCTGGGCATCTTCTTGCAGGGGCAGCAAGGCAGGTAGAGGTGGATAGGCTGAAATAGTTAATGAAGTTGAACTGTCTCCTGTGAGCTTTCATCTCCCCGCAAGAAAGGTAAGAACACAGACTGTGTAGAGATAGTACAATGAGTTGTGTCTACTGCATTGTCACAACACTTCTTTCAGCTTCTTGTCTCTGGGTTGTCAACCAGCAAAAAAAGAAGTTAATAAGCCAAGAGGGGCTGGAGGTTTCATGGCCTGGAAAGGTGCCAATGTAGTTAGTTTAGCTCCAACTCACTGTGAAAGCCCAAGCCAGCTTTCTAGTGACTGGGATTCATTTCTACCTGGTGGTAGAATAATGTTCAGAAAGGAATTAAATGTGCTAGAAAAGAATCGATGCAGGTGTTGTGATCAGGGCCAATATTACAAAATCCTCCACTGAAATTGGCTCACTTAGCTCTCTTGTTAACAACCCTCAGCAGAGGTTGAGGATTCAAGAGGTGTGATTACTTCAGCATCCAAAGGAGATCCAAGCACATGACCCCCATATCCCCTTCAAACAGCATCACTTGAAAGACCATAGATGTTACCTTTTTACTTTAAATTATGGCTTTAGCCCTTCCTCTCATGGGAGAGCTGTAGTTGAGGTATACTTGTTGTTGTTGCTGCTGCTGTTATTATAAGTATTATTACTATTAAGAACAATAATTTGTATTACCATAGGACTTAGGAGTCATCCCCTCCCCTAGTGCTAGGTGCTATACAAACATAAAACAAAGATAATGCCCACCCCAAGAACTCACAGCAAGTACTTTTCAGGTTAAAACTTGGACTGAATAGCCTTGTTTGAGATCACACATGGGTGCTTTTAGACTTAGATGACTTCATGCTATGTCTCTATGTGCCAGCATTCCTTTAGACGTGTCCAAGTTTTCTCAGGACCATATATATATAACTGAGTTCTTTATAAGTAACTTATAAGTACACGTCCCATTGTTTGTCAGATAAGTTACCATGGTTCTCAGGATTGAAAACATCAAGAAAAAAACAGAGAACCAGACACACCTGGCTATGATCTCATTTGATATTGGTGCAGAATGATTGTACCTACTATTCTATTCTCCTTGAAATTGCTGTTTTTAGTTTCTCGTACATATTACAGATGCTCTGGGGAACAGGGCTAGTATCCAGAATAACCTTCATAAACTGGAGAAATGGTTCAAAATTAATCAGATGAAATTCAGCAAAGACAAATGCTAATATAGACTGGGGAATGACAGGCTAGGGTGCCGTACTGCAGAAGAGAACCTGGCATTACAGTGGACCATAAGCTGAATAGAAGCCAGCAGTATTCTCTTCTTGCAAAAAAGCCAATAGCATACCAAGTATACTAACAGGCAAATCAAGGAAAATGATTCTGCCACTCTATTCAAAGCTGGTGAGGCTTCACAATGGAGTAATGCAGTACCATTTTGGGACCTGCACGTCAAGAAAGATGCAAATGGATTAGAAAGAGTCCAGCAGAGAGCAATAAAGAGGATTAGAGGTCTGGGAAACATGACTTATGAGGAAAGGCTGAAAGAACTTGGATTATTTGTTCTGGAGAAGAGAAGACTATGTGGGGAATTGATAATGTTCTTCAAATACCTGAAGTGTAGTTATGAAGAGGACAGAGATAGACTTTTCTTTGTGGCTGAAGGGGTCAAGACTAGGAGCAATGGTCTCACACTGCGGCAGGGGAAATTTAGGTTGGATATTAGGAAGAACTTCCTCACTAAGCGGGTGGGTGAGCATTGGAACAGGCTACCTAGAGAGGATGTGGAATCTCCATCCTTGGAAATTTTCAAGAGTATGTTAGACAGACACTTGGATGAGATGGTTTAGTGAGGAACAAGCCTGTGGTGAACAAGAGGCTGGACTAGGTTACCTTCTGAGGACCCATCAAGCTCTGGTTTTCTTTGATTTTGATGTTGCATTACGCCTGGGATGGCCTCTTGATTGCAATCGGGACATACAGATAGGTGGCACCAATAGGTAAAATCATAGTATTTTGTCCTATAGCCATGGTGGTGGATCAGGATTCAAATAGGATACCTCAGGGGACATTGTCAATGTTTTCTGCTTCTTAGGGACAGAGCTGTGGAATTCACCGAGCTTGCTCAAGGCATTGTCACTTAGAGGTGATTTTCTGCCAGCCAGGATGGATTTCCAAGCACACTCTGCTTCACTTTTCTGCCTTGTATTAACATGAATAACATTCAACATGAAATGGATTTCACATTTCACAAGTTCTGAGGAGGTTTTCAGTCCTGGAAACACCATTTTTGTCAGAGGCAAACTCTTTTTCAAAGGCAGCCATGTCTCCACAATGGAGGACAACTCCATGCTGTTTAATGGAAGCCAAGGACTTGCTGAGGCAATCAGATCTGAAGTAAGATGTTCTTGAACCATGCTGATGTCAAATGTCTTTGAGCCTCCATCATGCCTGGGGGGAGAGAAGTGAGGGGGGGCGTTCTTTCTCTCTCTCTACACATGTTTGTTCAGGTCTGTTGTCTGTCACCGGTCACGGCCACACGTCAGTCTCCTCTTACAGGCAGCCCTTTCCCGGGACGCCGCTGCACTCTGTGTAATCAGTGAGTGGTGGCTTGTGAGCGCAGCTCCTTATGGATCAGCCTGAGCCTCGATTCTGAAGCTGTGAGACCTGTTAGCCCTTTGCATGGAAACAGTTCAGGCCATTTCCACCAACCCCCCTGCTTCAGTCCCGAGTCAGCCCGGCTGAACCTCGTTTAGAAATTCCTTTTTTTTTTTTTTTTTGCTTGCTATCACCTTCAATCACTCCGGCAATGGGTTCATAAACCAAATGACCTCTGGCTAAACGTCTTCGAGCACCAGTTCCCTTGATGATGGCAGAAGCATATTTGTGAAGTGAAGTCATCACTACTGTCACCATCATTATAGCTAACTCTCCTACAGCTTTTTCCATTAGTAGATCTCAAAGGGCTCTGGAGCTCTCTCTGTATCATCTCCCCAGTTCAGTGCTGGTAATGAACCAGCAAAAGAAATGAAAACTGCTAGGGTCCGCAGCCTCTTCATCAGTGTTCACGTCACTCCTAACCGGCTCGTGGCACAGCTAGCGGGTGGAGCAGAGGGACACGTTCCCTGCATCAAGCTCAGAGCACAGAAGGAGAAGCAGGTTCCAGTCATTGTCTCCCGCATTAGCACTTGGGGCAGGAGAGGGCAGTGGGCTGGGAGCCCCCCTTCCGCCAGCCAGGCAAGCTCAGCTATGCCAGTGCACTGGAGAATGCAGACTGCACTGGACGCACCCAGTCCACAGCAACATGCTGCCTCTTACTCAGGATTTGCATCAAAGCCACAGCTCTGTTTCACAGGAATCAGACTCCTACCGCCGCTGAATTTCACTCAGAGTTAAGTGCCTCATCTTAAGTTGGGAGCCTGACTCATTAACAACTATTGCCACACATATTCATTTACTGGTGTAAGTGCACTGATGTAATAGTGCCCATTTTCCATCATAGTAGGCACTGTACACACACATGCAGAAATAAGAAGCCAATCCTGCCTAAACACCAATTTTAAAGGACTCTTGCGCACACTTATGTCTGCTTATTTTACAAATCAATAAACTATTTCGTCTCTTCTTGAGTCAGAGATGGACAGAAGAGTAAAACGGGGAACCCCACTTTGAAGTGACCTTGCAAGTGCTGCTAAATACAAGCTTCACATGACAGACTGCTCTTTGGTGTGCCTATTATGTCCTGTTTATGCTCTAAAATGCAATCAACTCACCACATTTGCATGTCTGATCTCCAAAAACCTGAAGATACCTGGAGGCGGATAAATCAGTTTTGTTCCAGCTTTGTACTGTCTGCGTGGAAAATTCCCATTTGTCTTCTGAAAACTACTGAGCTGTCTGTTCAGTGGATATTTCACGAGCCTACTAAATGAACAAATTTCTGTAAATCCAACATCCCATTACTCAAATTCAGCCAGAAGCTCTTCTTCACAAGCATTATATAAAAACTAAAATAAAGTCGCATCCTGGGTTTGGTGGTTAGTACAACCAAGTGGTTTTATCTTTGAGCTATATAAATTTGAAGCATGCAAGAGTGAATCTCCCAGTATCAAATATGAAATGTTAAAGAAAATGGCTGTGTGTTCACTGAAATGAGCGCTCTTAATTATAATTAGATGGAGGTTTTCATTTAATTTGTCTGCATTTATTTGAATAATTTAACAATGCAAACTCCTTATTCTTGTGAATTTTAGAATCTGTTCACAACACACAAACAATCCTTCACCACAAGGTTTTATTGATAGCTTGAAAATTACTGTGCAGACTTGTGACAAGGCATTTGAATGATTTGCCCATCCCCTACATCTCTGGAGGAGGCTGCTGTTCTGCTCCATCTACTCTGTTAAAAATATCATCTATTTGGATAGCACCAGTCAGTCAGCGCTTCAACTTCTGCTCAGGATAGAATTCTTCTCCCTTGGGGATTAAATGGCATTTTAGAATCCAGTTTTATTGACTTAGTTGCGCTTTGCTCCAAGTCTTGTCTGAGCGTTTGCTACTCCAGAGCAGAACAGAGGATGCTCACTTAAAGGACACTCCCCAAAATGAAGGGTCGCTGTTCAGGGGCAAATGGAAAGACAATATTGGGATTGCATGCACCATATGAGTAGTGAGCTGTCATGTGCAACACTAATCTTAACACCTGAGCTGTTTTGCTAAGTGTGTTTCAGTGGGATATTCAAAGGTGGAGTCCTCATTTGACTAGAACGCCCAAAGGCTAGAATAGGTCAGGACCTGAACTCAGAAATCAGCACATTCCCTTTAAACTGGGCCCAGATTCACTGCAGGTAGTAGTGACCCTTAGCCAGCACATTGACAAAACCCAGGCTGAGTTCTGAGTCTATAAGGACATTTGAAACCAGACAGGTCCTGCACCTCCGTCCAGCTCCAGGTTCTGTCAGAGTGACCTATAGTTTGAACAGACCTGGTCCAACTTAGTCCTGACTAACATCCCAGTCTAAAGGCCTTGAATCAGGTGGAACTGAGAGTCCATAATGGAGCAATGTGTGCAGGACTGGTGTCCACATAGGCTCCATGATCTCTGGGAGCTATGTAGTTGTGTCAATGGTTGAGTAAATGAATACTGTCATCATCAGTCATTGACCGTGAATGGCTGTATGTGCAGCACACATCATGTGCTGCAGTCTGCATGTAATGGTATATATTTGCATGCAGTCTGTGATTACCTGTATGTGCCCTGTTGCAGACTGCATGTACATGTACAGCCAGTGTAGTCTGCCATTGATTGCATGTGTCACAGCACCACTTTCATAGGAATCTTTGGGAACATGGTTTAAATAAAAGGCCTATTACTTACTCCTTGCGCTGAACAAGGGATATACAACATTAATAGGCAGACACAGAAATCTAAATGATTAGTATTGATCTTTCATCCATTCATATGTGAAAAAATCAATTCCCACTATAATACCTGTGCTTGTAACTCATTATATTCAGTACAAGACTTGGAAGCAGTTAAAGAATAAAATAGTGCAACACAGGATAATCTAGTTATAGCTGTACTTGCCCAATAACATGATTATGTTTTTCCCCTCAGAAGCTACAGGGCACTTTCTAGGGCAGGTAAAGTGATTTTTTAGAAGCCAAGGAAAGCAAAATAATAAAAATTCCATACAAAATCAGGCACAACATATGCCCAGCAAAGCAAAAAGAAACAGAACATTTTAATGTCCCTTAGGACAACTCAAATCAACCAGCTGCAAAGTACAGATGGTGCTCAAAGTTTCTGAAACTTCCAAGTATGTGCATCATACCAAGAGTTTGGCAGGAGCTGACAAATGAGGGGAATTTGGGATCTAGATCCAAAGACTGGAAGTAACTGGATTCAAAGGTTGGGCTGCACTCACCTCAATCCTTGAGAACGACGTAAATAAAATAAGCAAATCATGAAATTAAAAACCTTTAACGGAGAGATGTAATGTCACACTACACACATTCATATTTCACGTAGCTTGAATGGCAAATTAACATATGCTATGCTTGAGCATAAAACTGAGATTTACACCTTAAATGTGAGTCAGAGAGAGCTTTTTCTGGAAAAAAAAAAGCACCAAGTAACATTTTCAAGAACTAGCATCTTAGTAATAATACCAGCAGTTTAGGATGCATTGGGATCTCATGACTGGGTCATCACGGCAGCACAGTATGAATTGGAAACTGACCCTATGAAGGATTCTGGGTCCTTCAGAAAGCAGCACTGCTGGGCACTTCTGCTCTGCTGAGGAAGGTGGTAACATTTTAAACCAGGCATCAGTAACTTCTGGCCCGCAGGCTGGATCAAGCCCACAGGGCCATTCTCTCTAGCTCAGAAAGCCAGGGCTTCCATGGCATTTCAGCAGTGCGGGGCTTGGCAGGAAGCAGCAGCAGTGGCTGGTGGCAGCCAGGTTGGAAGGAGTGCCCCACCTCAGACTGAGCTGTGTCATTTTGGCCTGCTGGTCCTGAAGTTTTGAGGAGCCCTATTCTAAACCCATGACTAAGTTGAGCCCTTCTCAGAGACTGTGGGCTCTCTGAGCAACCCGGTGGTGGAAGCAGCAAATAACAATAATAATAATTGACACTCATCCCAAATTTGCCGATTGCTAGTAGCTTTACAGTGTACGCTGACGTTCACCAAAGACTAAAATGAAACCAGCTCTCTAGAGGTAAAAAA